TCAATTTCCATTTAGTTCGAGTTTGCAGTGCATGAGTGTTATAGCCAAACATCTGTCTTCTAATTTGACACATGTGTATACGAAAGGGTCTCCTGAGAAAATTTTAAGTCTCTGTAATCCAAGTTCGATTCCACCAGACTTTGATCAAGTATTACAACGATTCACCAAACAGGGATATCGAGTGATTGCTGCTGGTTACAGGGCATTAAAGAATAATTTGAGCTACGTTAAAACACAGAGATTAACCAGAGAGCAAGCAGAATGTGACCTGACACTTTTGGGATTGATTATATTAGAAAACAGATTAAATCCAGAAAGTGCTGGTGTTTTAGACACATTACGGTCTGCAGCTATTAGAATTATTATGGTCACTGGAGATAATATGCTAACAGCACTTAGTGTTGCAAGAGATTGTGGTATTGTGTTAGAAACAGAAGATGTTATTACTGTGCACGGAGTTACAGTGCCCCCTTATTTGTATTTCACAGCAGCTGATATGAATGTTAACCAGACAATTAATTCAAATTCGATTGTAAGTTCTAATATTAAACTTAAAAATACAATTTAATTTATATCTTTAAACAATATTTTATGTTTATAATTACTTTAATTATTTTGTTCAAAACTGTATTACAGAAACTGAGCACTATAATGTCTTCCAATTCTGGTAATAGTGTAAATTTGAATATGGATTTATTAGAAGCTGGATTATTAAGCCCTTCAAGTACTACTGCTAATACACCAATTAAGTATGTTTTATACCTTTCAACATAAAAATATATTCTATTGATTTACCTATTATTAATATTTTTTTATTTTATTTATTAGATGTTCTCAGAGATATACTTTTGCATTGACTGGAAAAACATGGTCATTGCTTAGACAATATTGCCCTGAACTCATACCAAAAATCATTACTAGAGCTTCTGTATTTTCACGTATGAGTCCAGATCAAAAACAACAACTTGTTCAAGAGTTGCAGGGAATTGGTTATTATGTTGGTGAGTAAATTTAGTTAAGTGAATATAAATTAAATCAATTTGTTTAAATCTTGGTAGGAAACTTGTTTTTAGAACACTAAAATATTTTGACTGAGTTTTTACTTTCAATAATATTTTTGTTTAGTTTTAAATTATTGTAGAGTATTAATTTAGTATACTAAAATCTGATTCATTACATTTTATTTTATTTTAATACATTTCAATTTGAAGATTAAAATTAATTTTTGAAAAAAGTCAATATCTCAATTTGATAATAATAATTGATTATATTTTTAGAACTGTATACAGTTATATTGTTAAACAATTTAATTAATATTAAATTTTATGATTTTTTTGCAATCTATATTTAAAATGTTTAAGATTAATTAATCTAATTGTGAAAAAACATTTTTTCAATAGTTTTTATTTGGATTTGTAAAATGTTGTTCAAGGGTTTTTTTTTGCATTTTAGACAAGTCAATTAAATTAACAACAGTGTTTTAAATTATAGCAATGTGTGGTGATGGTGCCAATGACTGTGGAGCTTTGAAAGCAGCACATACTGGTATATCGCTGAGTGAAGCAGAATCGTCTGTTGCCAGTCCATTTACCTCGCGCAAAGCATCTGTTGAATGTGTTGTGAGAGTAATTCGCGAAGGCCGTGCTGCTCTTGTTACTTCAGTTGGTATATTCAAATTTATGGCTGGATATTCATTGGTGCAATTCGTATCGGTTATCATGCTCTACTCTATTGACAACAATTTATCTGATTACCAGTATTTGTACATTGATTTATTTCTCATATCACTCTTTGCATTTTCAATAAGTCGTACGTCTGCATACGAAGGACCTTTAGTTAAACAGAGACCTGAGACATCACTTGTCTCTGCCTTACCATTAACATCACTTATTGGACAATTAGTAATTTCTATTGCAATTCAACTAATTAGCTTCATAGCCATTCGATATAATGATTGGTTTGTGCCATTTCAATATAAAGAAGATGGGTCATTAGAAAGCTTTGAGAATTATGCAGTGTTTAGTGTATCGGCATTACAGTACATAATTTTAGCCCTAGTTTTCAACAAGGGACCACCATACAGACAGGGTTTACAATCAAACTGGTGTTTATCCATCATATCAGTAGTCATAGTAGCATTTACCATTTATTTATTTATTTCACCGTTTGAAATTTTAAGATCCAAATTCGAACTCAAATTACCTCCAGACAACTCTTCTTTCTTTTATGTAGTTTTAGCGCTAGGGTTAATAAATTTAGCACTGGCAGTATTTCATGAAAAAATACTGTGTGACCGCATGCTTGTCAAATTTTTGAGTTCTCGGTAAGATAATATTAACCTTTTTTTACTGTTTTAACTATTATCAATTCTAAAAATTGGAAATTTTTAGTTCTCATAAGAGTAAAAGTTGGACAACCTCTTATGCTGGAATTGAGCATGAGCTTCAAAAAATGCCAGATTGGCCTCCGTTGAGTAACGATCGTTTTAGTTCATCCTCATCATCACCATTTTCGTATACATCACCTGAACAGCTGTCACCGACCGTCCGTTCAACAGTACAACAAAATGGTATTGCATAGCATAGATATATTATATGTTCATCAAATGTTTGAGTTGAGTTTTTTTTTATTATTATTATGATAATTTAATATTTATAATACTACAGGAACAGCCAGTAATGGTGTGAACTTATCGTTACATCGTCGCTTTCATTCAGAGAGTGAAGAATCCAATTATGCTACTCCTGCTGGTAGCTTACAACACATTTGACAAATTTGTTATGTTTTTTCAAACAATATGTCTGTACTTAAAATAGTAGTTACCTGTAGATTTTTCTTTTTATTGCCAGTATAGTTTATTTTATATAGAATACGTATAAAAATTACAAATATAATTTACAGTCTTAATTGTCTTGTGCGTCCCTTATAGTATACATATACATATATAATATAGCTTAATAAAATAGAAGTCAACTACATTTGTGGACTTTGTCATCTGCATAATAATTATTGCATTTATATACAATAGTGTTAATGGTGTCTTAATGTTATTTACTATTATATTTTTTTTGTTTAACCTAAGGTTAAATATCAAATTGCCAGTATTTATGTTTTTAAATGATAATAACATGATAATTTATTGTTGTTTTTTTTTTTAATGGAACTAACGACCTTTTATTAAATCTCTTGAGAATAAAATATTTTTTATGCAAACAAAATACAATTAATTAGTTATAGGAATTGGATGTCATAAAAACAATTGGTTTTTTATCAGTGCAGTATTTGTTGGATTATTGAATTATACTTATTTGTAATTGTAATTTTTTTTTTTGTTAATAAATTATTTTAACATTAATTGAATGTCTAAAATGTTTTTTTATTTATAGTGTTTAAAATGTTTGTATTTTTGCTTGTTGTTGAAATAAAGAAAGAAAGAAAATAATTTGTTTCAAAATTTCAAGTTAAGATGAGATTGTACTTACTCTGCATTGTATGTCTTACCAATGACTAACACATAACATATTAAAATGTAGAAATTCTAGAAATTCCAATTTTCTGTGGCTGGTCTTATTATTATTAATGAGGTGAATTGACCTATTATCAAACAAGAACATTATTTGTGTTCTCTCGTTGGATTTTTGTGATATTTTAATTTTTAAGTGGGTAGTGGGGGATTCTTATTTTCATATTTTTACAAAATGCCATTGAAACATGTTTTAATACAAAGAATGAGAAATAATTAGTGAAACCCTCAAACACAGTGGTGAATTGAATGTGTAGTAAATGTCACAGTTAGCAAAAACATAACATAAGTTACATCTTTGTGGTTTGACTAGTGATCTCTGAATCAGAAGTGCCTTTGTAAGAAATACCTGCCAAACAAAACGGCCAGCTGACATTTTAAATTATACTATTTTTAATACATTTTATGGTGTAATATGAAATAAATATTTATCTATTTATATTTTGGTTATAACTGCAGCAGTTGGGAATATATCATATTAGTTAGGTTCTATGTAGGTAAATGATCAGTGAATAATATCCAAGTAATGAGGCAAGTTTAATTTGTTATCAGTTACAGAATTCTTAAATAATTTTTAAAATGTAACTGGTTACGATTTGTATTGCAACTTTAAATAAATTGACATATAGGCAGTGGTGTAGCCTGGATTATGAAATGGTGATTGGTTAGAGTAAACTGTAAATAGTAGTTAATAAATTAATAGAATATAATCTCTAATTAATAGAATAACATCAATTGTCTCTAATATTGATATATACTTTATAAGTGTACTGTTGGTGTAGGATTTAAGTATGTTACCTTTATTTTTTGTTAACAAAATATATTATTGTATGTATTTTGATGTTAGTGTAATTATTTGTTACATTTTGTGATCAATGTTTTTCAGTGTAGGAGATGTAATATCTTAGTTTCAACCAAGGCTTGAAAGTTCTGCCATTTATTTTGGTTTTATTTAGAATTTGAAGTGGTGTTTTTATTTATAGTATATTCCCATGTAAGAGTGAAATCAAACACATTTTGTTCAATCGTTTTTGTGTTCTTGGAGCAATTGAATGAGATTCAAATTGGAATTATAAGAAATGTATAAAATGGCCAAAGAAAATTATAAAAAGCATATTTTCTAATTTTTAGAGCTATTCACATTGTATATTTTGGAGTCTTAAAGTTCATAATGAAATTCTAAAGAGCAATTTTTTTAGTGCTACAACTTCAAGCCCGGGTTATAAGTTAGTATATAGTAGTACATTTTCCACATGCACCTTCATACCAACAAATATGTAGTAAATAGCAGTGTCATTATTTTCTTGAAGAAATGTGTATATTTAATATTTATTAATTTAGTAACTTGCCAATTTCTGCATAGAAACAAGAAATCAGTGGCACACCACTTCCCTGAGGGTAAAAACTATAAAAATAAAATAAAATAATAAATAAAAAAAATATTTAATTAATAGTTTTTTGTTTATTTATTTAAAAAAAATAATTTACAAATTAATTACAATTTGTTATAACATAATGATATAGTACAAATACAGCGTATGTGTGTTTTTGGGTGTATGTATGTACAAAGGGATTTGTTTATTTACAATATATTTGATATTTTTTCTTAGGATAAAGAATAAAGGATTTTTTTAACATTAGTATTAGGTAACATTGACAGTATTTCATTGACCAGGTTTAGTGAGCAAAAAATTAATTATCATTTTCATTCAATAAAAAAATCGTACTTGGAAGTAGCATTTGCCAATTATGTAAATACTATGTAGGAGACTTTGTACATATTGTTTTGTGTATTCCAAGTAACGTATAGTGTAACAATCACAGTATGCCATTCGTGTAGTATTGAAAGCCATCATACAATTTGGTCGTGATTGAATGCAACGACGACTCAACCATGTTATCAACAAGCGATATTAGTTGAGATTCTGTAAGGTTTAAATGGAAACGACATTTCAAAGATCCAATTACAGCTGTTGCTCCAGCTCTAAAACAAGGTAACTGTGAATCTGTAAAACAAAATGTATAACTAATTAATATTGTTTGAAGTTTGACCATAGTCTTAAGCTGATAAAAATAGTTCATACTAGCAGACTGCATGATTTGGACGACAGACAACACTCTGTCCATGTGTTTACGTGAAGCAATCAAACCACGTAGTATTAGTAATTTGAAGTATTTGAAACCATCTGAGTCAAGTCCACCCATAACATCAACCATTTCCGAAGTTAATTTAAAGGGTGAACTTTCAAATCCTAGATTTTTAGGGGATGCTGACAGTATGAATCCAAAATCAATATGTATAAGATTACCCTGATTATCAAGAAGTATGTTTCCATTGTGTCTGTCTTTTACTTGGATCAAATAACAAACAAGAGAATACGCAGCACAGCTTTCTATAAAGTTTTGTCGTGCTTCTACCAAAGTATTTTCTTTAAATTCTTCTTCAAAATACATTGATAGTGAATTTTTATTTTGTTTTTTGATCTGGTGCAAAGAGATAGTATTTAATACTGGTTCTATTAAACCGGCATCATTTGACAAGCATAGTATTTTATATGGAAAAACTTTTAATGGTACTAATTCTGACATCCATATGCTATGCAATGTTAGTAATAATTGAGAGGCGAGAAGTTCTTGTCTCAAATCATCACCTGTTTTCACAATAACGGGCAATAGTTTCCAGTTGGCTAGACCACCGTATGGAGATTTTTCCCTGACACGTTTTTCTTTTTCTGACCAAAGTTCTTTGAGTGCAGCAGCAGAAGGGTCTTCGGGATCTGTGGGCGAAGAACTTTTAATATCTGTGGAAACGGTGAGGCGACGTCTTATGTCACCGGCTACAATAAACATGTTTTGATTGTTTATTTCCGGTTTAGGATCTTGGGACTCGCATCGAGTGAGATTTTCTTCACTACGGGTTTGACGAAGATTTGATACCCGGGTAGTCAAGGGAGACCGTTCGGCATCTTCTACTTCTGCTACTTCCACATAAATAATGAATGGAGCCTAAACATAAATTAATAATTGTATTAATTATGAAAAATTAAGACTAATAAGGCTAGGTAACTAAAACTTTTGCTACCAGTGGAATATAATACAAATATCTAACATAGAAATAATGTGTAATGTGTTAAATAATTGTAAATAAACTAGATTGTTCGAATTCCTTATTATCACATACCTTAGCATAAACAATTTACCTTGTCTTTAGAATTTAAAACAGCTGCTACACGTGGTGGAATTGATAAAATATGATGATTACAGTTGTACAATGGTATCCAAACTTTAGCAGGTAAATTCTTATTAATTAAACTTAATTGGCTATAGAGATAAGTAGTTCTTGCTTCTCTAGTTGATTGTTTAGCCAAATCTCGTCCGAGTGTTGTCAAGCATTTGATAAATTCTACTTCAGAACACATTCTTGGAGCCTATGGAAATGTTTGTAAAGGATAAATGTATACAATTTCATTTTTATTGTTTAACTTACGCCACATCGACACTCAGCTATTTGTTCAGTGCAACTGCATCTATTATCAAATGCCATACCAGAACTTAAATCCCCTAAAAAGTTTCGTTCACGTACTAAATATTAAAAAATAAAAATTGTGAGTAAACTTATTGTACAAAGATTAAAACCATTAAATAGAAGTTTTAGATCGTAAATTGAGTAGGCTGTACAATTACACTTTACCTATTTGAATTCCATTTAAATTGACCATCGAGCTGTCAGATCTAGACCGACAATGAGTCTTTTTTGTTAATAAGTTGAATGAGTCTACAGAGGTTGGTTCACTTGGTCCTTGTTTATAATGCTCGTTGAGAATTGTACTGATTAATTGACCACCACGAGATTTTGATTCAGCATTTAAATCATGGAAGGCATTTAATAACCATGCACATTTAATAGAAAAATCACAAGATTTACGGCACCTATAATTTTTGATAGTTAATTAACATAAATGAATGAACATTTGAGATATCTAACACTATTATTATAGATACATTTTAACATACCTATGTACCAAATATGGATCTATAGCCTCAGCTATGTCATCCATTTGTATGTACATACTAATTAGTTGTGGCAAGAAAAAATCTACTGAATTATCATCAAAACTAAACAATTTATCACCTGAAAATTAATTTAAGCCACTGCTATTAAAAATATGTTGTATTTGAGTAATCTACAATTTCATTCAAATAAGATAAATGTATTACCTATATACCGTTGGACACCAGGCTCTTTTGAATTGAAAAGGTACATAATGGCCATTGGCATATCAAACAGCTTGGACTCTATCAGTCTGAGCAGAAAACTTTTAGAAACTTTGTCGAATGTCTGAGCATCGTAACTTCCCTGTTTTGAAGGGCTGGGTTCTGAACAGCTAAGGCTCTCTCGGCTACAGCTGCTCGCCATCTCTGAGCTATAATAATTTATAACTATATGACAAATTATTATTTGTTTTAATTTTTGCATGAAAATAGTAATTACCTCCCAATACCCGAATCATCCGAATGGATGTTTGGGTCAGATATTGGTGCACATATTGGTTCAGGACACTCAGGACTTGGTATCACATCTACCTCTGGTATTTTAGTAAGTACAGAATCCAAACTACGGTTTCGGTGGTGTGAAGGATGATTTATTGTTGGTAATACAATACCCATTGACCTTTATTTAAAAAAAAATTATTAATAATAACATATATAGATGCGAAACATTTTAATTATATTATTCATTTAGCATATTTGTTTTGCAATCATCCTGAAATAGTTATGTAATTGTCTTAGAATATTGTGTAACTGAACTAATTGTAGTTTGAAATTTGTAATTCATCTAGCTTTAATTAACATTCAATTCAATACAAATATTAACACCTTAAAATTGATTGATTTGAAACTTAAATACAACTTTATGCAATAAGTTGTAAAAACTTATGAATAGATAGGCAAATTATAAATGGGGATGTATTTATTTTATTACTGTAATCAGATGACACAAGACAAATACGACGAATTAGAGGGTGAAAGCAAGTACTATTCAAAGTTATTAAGGTAGTAACATCATACCGAAAGTCAAGGCTAAGGTTCCTTTGGTGGTTGCTATTTCTGTGTTTGCTAAATTCCGGGCGACCATGTACAGGTGTCACAGAAGTAGTAACAGCCACTTTTGTTGATGCGTTTTCGTGCATTACGTTTATTTATATTTGTTTGATTTAATTCTAAAACAAATCAAACGCGATTGAAAAATAATCTATGAAAACTACACGAGAGAACTTTGTAGCAACAATTACTTTCAAATTGGTGTCGGAGTCCATTACAAGGCCGAGGCCAAAAATTCGAAGTGGGTTACAAGATGCAACGGTGAACGGTTTGACAAAAGGTGTTCTGCATGGCATTAAGATCTTATTTATATAATATGTAATTGTTGTCGATCTTATGGAAAACGTCAATATTGTTGAAGTTAAAAAAAATTTCAAAAATGCCAAGTACACAGAAAAAAGGGCGTTTTTGGACAAAACAAATGTTTGAGGTTAGAATGGTTAACCGAAAGCTGATGTTATCTGTTGCAAATGGTCTGTGGTTATGATAGTACGAAATATTATTGACGAAATAATAGAATATTACACATTCATATATTATATTACATACATATACCTAGGTACCCATCAATTTTCTTTCACTTTTAAAATTAATTGACTGAATTCGTATGGAAGATCGTGTCTGTTCGTATGTAATTATTGTTGTTTACACTTCGTAGTGATTGTCGCAATGGACCTGTCTGGGTTCTGTCGGTACTGTTTGACTGAAGACGACGCAAAAACGCCCATAGTCGAAGATCCTGATGGTCTGGCTGAGAAAATAAATATGTGTTTACCGAATAAAGTAAGCGCTAATATTTAAGAGATGGATAACATTTTAATTTAGTATAACTAACTTTAGTAATATTATATTATTATATTCTACGTTCATTGTTATTATTATTAATACCTATTGACATCCGTTGTTTAATCAGTTTTCAGAAGAAGATCCGTTCCCTAAAATGATATGTAACAGTTGTCATAGAAAACTTTTGGAGACGTACAATTTCTTTATGTGCATCCAGGACACCGAGAATCATTTTCGCGGCATCTTGGATCAAATGGTAATAAGCTTTTATAATACAAATAAATTGGTATGTGGCCCATGACGTTTATTTTATCTCTCCAATGTATTAAGTTTTCAACAACTGAAATGAGTCATTTATATAATGTCTGATAATTTCCTATTAAAATTAAATAATATATGTTAAATAATAATATATGTTAATAATAATATTTTAAATATTTTAGAATCAGCCACCAAGTGATTGTGATGTAGAGACACCTACGGTTAGAAGGTAAATTCAATTAATGCTTTTAATTTTTGTTATTAATATATTTCAATTAATTTTAGACCGAGCAAAAGAAAGTCCGGACCTTGTAAACGTTTGTCTGTTAAATCTCCCAAGAAAACTGCTCATGCTGAGATTGTAGATAAAAATGAAGATCAGAGCAAATCTGTGGACGAAACCTCGGATAGTTTGACAGAAAAACAAGATAAACCCCTTCATGTATGTGAAGTCTGTGATCGTACATTTCAAAATCTTTTGGCATTTAACACTCATGTCTTAAATCATAATAATGAACCTCCTACTATTTCATGTGAGTCATGTGGTTATACAACACAGCATCGATCTTCTATGTACCGTCATCAAAAACGTCATCTAAAGCAGTCCAAGTATACATGTTCAGAATGCAACAAGAATTTTATTACAGAAAGTTCACTAAATGAACATAAAAATAAGCATACTGGTGATAAGCCATTTAAGTGTGAATCATGTAAAAAATCATTTTCATTATCTCGATACTTAGCAACACACATGCGTCTTATACACGGTGACACAGTATCATATGTATGCACTCAATGTGGGCGTAAATTTGATGATCGGAGCTCACTAGCTTTACACCGTCGAACACATAAAAGAGCCATGTCTTGTCTATGTGACATATGCGGCAAAGAATTGTCCAGCAGAGAACATTTGAAGTTACACAAACGATTACATACCGGAGAGAAACCAAACGTATGTAGCTTCTGTGGTAAAGGTTTTGCAAAACAATGTACGTTAGTATTACATCTCAGGACTCACACTGGTGAAAAGCCTTATCAATGTGATCAGTGTGGTAAGACATTCTCACAGCGTTCTTCTTACGTAATTCATTATAGAAAACATACTGGTGCAAGACCTTATGTGTGTGCTTGTGGTAGTGGTTTTGTATGCAGAGCAATGTTAACTGCACATGAAAAGACATGTGCTTTTGTTTTTCCTATCAACATGTACCAAAGCATGTACTAACTTAACATAATTTTTTAATCTTTATCAAATTTATTATTGTTTCTATAATTATCATTGTTATGACTTATGAATTATGATTATAATTTAAACATTTTTTTTAAAGGCCATAGTTTTTGAGTCCCCTACCAAGTGTTCACTTCTTTATGATGGAATGTTTTTTTATTTAATACTAAAGGTGTCAAAACTAGAAGTCAACACTAAATTAAATAATGACTCATTCATTTTTATGCCTTACATATTTTATCACTTGGAATTTGTATAGTTAGTCAAATAAAAAATATATTTTTTTTTGTATGGTATGTACATGGGAGTACGTCCAAAAGCCTAGTTAGTTTGCCTGTTTGGCATAAATTTTATTGAGCACTCGTAAGTTTCTACCATGTCCTATTTTGGTGGGATGGTGGTCTCTTACACTTGGCAGTTGTCAGTTCTGAGAGACCTACACCTACACCTTGTGGCTGTGTTTTTACCGACAATTATACACATTTTAACTGCCACCATAGCCCTATTGGCCACTTTGTGCTCCATTAAAATATTTAAAATTTATGATCATTTTTAAAAAAGTACACTGTTCATTATATTAATTATGTTAATGCCTGCATTAGTATGGGCCGCACAATTTTCAAAGAATAACTTTAAATATTTATTTTGATGGAATTGGAACTATTTATTTAATACTTTAATATAATATTATTATTTATTTCACATTATATAATTGGAAGTAATATTGATGATGATAATTTAATTAAATTGATTTGAAATGTATACTCTTTAAATACATTTACTGAGTGTCCCTAGGGCTGTTGAAAAAAAAATATGCCGACAACTGCCAACTTACCACTTTTAAACATAATATTTAAAACTAATTTATTGAAAATGGAATCATTTAAAATTGTCTCTTAATCTTTTTGTGTATATCATGTAATATATACAGAGTGTAACAAAATATTAATATTTAAAAAAGTTCTAAGAAATAACTACTTGACTAATAAATGTTTTTACCATGAAAATTGTTAAATATATCTCAAATAAATAAATTATACAAAAAATTAAAATATTGATTCTAACAAAAGTTCTTTCATTATTCGGTTTTTTCTGTTACACCTTGTATATAGAAGGATTTTGAGCAGGAATTTTTTGTTTTTTGAATGAAATGAAATTATTCTCTTTCTAACAGCTTTGGTTGTCATATTCAACAGCTTACAAATTTAAGTGGTGAAACGATATGTAAATGATCGTGCCATTTAAAATTATTTAATCGTTATGGGGCACTCTGTAATTAAACTTGTGTTAACTCAAAAATGGGTATTGTATTACGAAACTTAAAGGTTATGGACACGCTTTGTTTCATTGTGCAATACTGCAATACCTATGTTTAGAAATTTTTGAGAATAAATTATTGTATGATATTATTATAATGATATTTGTTATTATTGTGAACATATTGCTCTTGAGCATTTCACCTAATTCATCCTGATCAAGATCAGTTTTATTATTCTCAAAATTTAAATTTTTCAGATAAATCTTATGGCAAAATTATTGAAACAGTAGGTAATCAAATATTAACAAATTAAAATCCCAACAACATTTTACATTATAATTTATTTTATCCATTTTTCACTAGGTATTTAAGAAGCGTATTTAGATACCTATTTTATCATACATCTACATATTCAAATCTAGATATTTTTGTTTATAGTTCTAAAGATTTTTAAAACAATTTCTTAGTTATATTCTTAATAATATTTATTATAAAACGAGGGCCAGTAATCATTTTGAAATTTAAGTCTCATTAGGTAGGTACCTTAAAAATAAAAAACTTTTTGAAAGAAACATAAATTCGTATTATTTTGAAATTATTTATTTATAAAAATTGAATTTTTGAAGTGAGGTACCTACTTAATTCGTTACAATTTATAAGTATTAACAGTTTAGACGTAAATTGAAGAATACCTAGCTCATTGGACTTTAGATGCTTATAGCTTATATTAAGTAGTGTTATGATTTAACCGTATTTTAGATTCTGAGAGGAGCGATTAATGTATTGATTTTACAATGATGTGTGTTTTTTAATTTTAATTTTTTTTTCGGGCCCCCGTCATCACGGTTTCTTTGAGTAAAAGTGCTTCAAAAGCAGCTTTTATGGTAGGAATGTGAATCTAGTTGATGTATTCGTTAGGAAAAAATTTAAAATTCCCAATAATTTTCAAAAGCGATAGGAAATACAAACAAAAAATTGAGGAAAAACGGAAATTTTTACGCAAAAACATTTGGTTTTTAGTGTAACTCTCTAACAAAAATGACAGTAGATACATGAAATTTTCACTGAATATTCGTGTTAGCATTTTTTATACACCATACAATTTTCAATATATTTTGATTTGCTTTGAATATTTATAGGCATTTGAAATTTTCGATTATTATTTGTTTTTTTTTAAACTCAAGTCGATAAATAAATTTTCGCTTGAACAAAATCTTGAAAATGTAATACAAGGTTCCTTGTAAATTGTTTTCAATGAAAATTTAAAAAGGTTGAACGTAAATCTACAATAATATTTTATGAGTGTTTAAACTTAGAATTTTGACAAAATTCGTAAAAATTACGAAAATCAGCAAATTATAATTGGTTAGAAATTCAAAAAAATTTTCTATTTATATCTAAGATTTAAAAATGTAATATAATACAAGATTCCTTATAGTGTCCTTATTAAAAAAAATATGTCTACCGGAACGTCAAATTAAATTTTTATGAGCGTTTGAAGTTGAAATTTTTACAACATTGAATATTCACTCGATTTTTCTTATTGCGATTTTCTTATTTTGTTGTAATTCAAAAACAAATTACTGTAGAAACTTGAAATTTACACCAAATGTTTGTTTCATCAATTCATATACTTGATAAAATTTTCAAAATATTTGGACTCGTTTTAAGCTGATGACGGACATTTTCAACTTTCATTTTTTTCATTTATTTTACTATAATTGTCAATAAGATTTTATTGGTGTGATCAAAAAGCATGACAATTTAATTCAAGACATTCGATAGCTTGTAGCAATAGTAGTTGAAAAATATTAAAAATACATAGGCACAATTTTTTTATAACAATTTAAATTTCAAATTTTGACAATATTTATCAAATTGAAAATTGAAAATAATTTTGTAGTTAAAAATTTATAAAATTTTCAATTTTTGTTAAGGATTGTAAATTTAAAGCGAGGTTCCACTTAAGCCGTTTTTTCCGTCACTAAAAAATCTAAAAATATACGAATACAGTTTTTTTACAGACATTTTAAGTTTAAGGTTGGTCAAAATTTCATACTAACACAATGAATAACGTTTATCATTTTGTTATAATTCTGTTCCAAAACAACCCATTTGACATAGGTATATCTAATATTTTTCTAGCATCACTGATAATTTAAGAATAACATTAATTCAACTTACCGGCTATCATATTAATAATTAGTAATGACAATATAAAATATCCTTAACTGACATACCGTCTCCGCTCAGAAATCAGAATCGTTTTCGTATAGAATGATTTGATATTATTGAATTAAAATGTAATATCATCCATTAAAGTGACCTCTTAGACACTTAATGTACAGCAGAGCGATGTCCACTTACCCGCTTTTTTATTTAGAAGATAGTGTACAATGCGTCAATGCTGATCAAATTATAAATCCGTTAAGTACTCAATTGGTTTTGTACCTATTACGTATAGAATCGGTTATATTCCATTTTATGCTTTTATTTTTCCCAAAATACTATTGTAGCTGATTACGCGGATGACAAAGCCATCATACCATTTGACAAAAACCCTATTACTGCCTCAGCAAATCTCCAAACTCATCTCAACCTAATGTCTGAATGGTACACCGATTGGCGCATTAAACCTAATCCCAATAAGTCATTAGTCAGTTCATACAACATTCACTCTATGCCATTCCATTTGTCCTAATGTCTATTTACATAACATACTTATTCCCAAATCTGACACAGTTAGATATCTAGGACTTAACTTGGATAAGCACCTCACTTGGAATACCCATATCCGTATAAAGAGACTTGCAGCCTTAAACGCCCGACTTCGCAGGCTACGAACTCTACTCACAAATAATAAACACTCCAGTTTAAAAATTAAAGTTCTTAAGTATAAAACATTTTTAAACCTCTAAGGAATATGGTCTCCAATTATGGGGAACAGCAAAAGTGTCCAATACCAACGAAATTCAACAATTTCAGAATATTGCTCTTAGGAAAATTACTAATGTTCCACCTTTTGTTTTGAATTACACTATACATAATGATCTGTCAATTAAAACCGCGACAGAAGAAGCTATACGCTTCTACAAAATCTTTCATGCCCGCCTACAAACACACCAAAACCCACTCATTAAAAACCTATCCATCCAAACATTACCTGGCAACCCCAGAATGTAATATATTTATTTACCTATTATATGAGATAAATTATTGGCCGAGAGGCCAGTTGTGTTAGGTACTATTGTAATACATCTATGTTACATATTATTTTTTAGTAATACCCACCTAATGAGTAAAAAGTAATTTTGTATATTATTGAAAATATTTATATTTTGTTGAATTTCTTCTGATCTTATATAGCAAAAATTCTATGTACACCTATCTTAAAAAAAAAACAACAACAGGTTTTACTATAATCTTCATCATAAAGGTAAGAAATAAACATTTATCCTTTTCTATTTTCCTAAATTAATATCATAAATCAAAGAAACTCGTACTCACGAGAATTTCCACTGCACTTTCTTGTAGCACTGTAAAGACGCACATAGAATGATTTTCCAAAATTTGCATGTTAAAGGGACGCTCACACGAGGATTTTAAAATTCAGAATGAAATTTTTTTTTAATATTTATGGTTGCCATTGGTTACAGATTATAAAATTGTTATAGTTTTTTTTTTAAATTCCATCATACAAAACTTTTGAGGAACATTAAATCGTTAAGCTTTTTTATTTTTATGACGTTCCGAGGTATTTTCCATTTCATTATTTCCACCCAGCTTAATTATTATACATTTAGTGTATTCTAATATATTTAATAGAGGAATAAACATTATTTTTCAAAAAAAATTTCGTCAAAGTAGGTATATTTTTATTTATATAGAGATTAATTTGAATAACATATTACAATAGGTATAGAATATGATGTATAAACAATACATTTTGTGGAAGTATTGTTAAAAATTGACTATATTTAATGCTCATTTAAGTTTAGGTACCTAAATACCTAATTACCGATTTAAAAAAAGTTTTCTCTTTTTGCTTTATATGATATTTAAATTCAAGTACCGGCTCGAGAGCCGCTTAACAGAAGTTAACCTGCTGACATGCCAGAAGTTCACCGTGTCTCTGCTTTTGAGAACGAGGCCTCGTACCACATAAAACAAAATTGTCCGAGCATCGGGAGTCATGTCGAACTCGGTTAGCAACGATGACGGAAGTCATTCTTCTCCGTTTGCTTTGGCTTTGTAATAGTTAATGACAAAGAAGGCAAGTGCTCGGCTAATTTTGCTTTATTTTGCTCATTCTCGAGAGTATAGCACGTAATACACCTGACCTGAGTTGAGGTGGTAGAGACCTGCAGAGAGTGCTGGTGCACCATCTGAATTTTTTGACCGAAATCGTCATAACTCATAGGAAACGTCCCTATGCGTCGGCCACAGAAGCAGACGGTGAACTTCTGGCGTATCAGCGGGGCAACTTCTGCAGTTAAGCGGCTTTCAAGTCGGTACTTGAATGTAAATTTCATATAATCCAAAGGAAAAACCTTTTTTAAAATCGGTAATTAAGTATTTACCTATACTGAAATGCTCATTAAATACCATACATTTGTAACAATACTTTCAAAACGTTTATTGTTTTACATCATAATATATTATATTGTAACCTCGAAACAACGATCACGTCATCACTTTACGGATCTGGGGCTTGGATAGTTGCTGGATACGGAGCGATGGTTTGTAAATAAGTGACGACGGTTTCACCAAGAAGCACTTATTTTCGTCTTCCACTTTCGGCTTTGAACGGTGCTTGGCTAATTGTTTAATGTGTTCAGATGCCTCGTACTTCAAAGCTGCGCGTGACACGCCTGTTTTGGTTCGTGGTGGTAGTGGAGGTTGAGTCGGAATCACTACTTGGGGTTTTTCATTTTGGACTTTTGGGCCCTTTTTGGACCATGGAATTTGGGGGTCAACTTCTGCAAAATATTAGGTAAGTACAATTTAATTAATATATTGTGCCGTGTATGATTTTATACTGTATTATTGTATGAGCATCTCGTCATAGATATCATAAGATACTTCGTTGACGAACTCAGATGCTAATGTTTCGTTTGAAAAAAAACTCGAACTAAAATAAATCGACCAAGAACATGCCTATAACCAGGACATGGTGGTGTGGTCACCCAGATACGGAGTGGTCGATATTTTGTTTTATTTTTCAGTTGAAATGTTGAATAATATTATGTTAATTTAAATTTGTGATATTTTCATTTTATCTGTAAATAAGAGCACCCCATGTTCATACTTTGTGCAATAACATGTAAATGCCAAAACCAAAATTTCAGTGAAACGAAACTCTTAGCAGTTATTATAGTTTATTTCCCATCATCTTAGTTGCAGAAAGAATATTATATATACCTACATACATTATACATATATATACCAATATATCATAAGTACTTTGTTTTATTTAATAAAACTAAACTTTTCAAATTAATTACATCCATCTAAAATTCAAATTATTTTGTTTTTGCTTGAAATGGGTAGGTATACAAGTATAAAAATATCATAGTTACATATTATACCTAATTAAATTGAATAGGACCTAGGTATATTTACTAAACCAGACACATTGTCTTTAACTTCTTAAGAAAATTACTTATTTGAAATTTAGTTGTAGTAGATATGAAGTCTATTTCTTAATATTATATATTTTGCTATTGAACGCACAAACTAGTAAAAGTAACGTGATTAAAATACGCTTATGTCGTATCTCACTGTAATTATACTCATTATAGTATACTTAATACCTAATGAGCGTCGCGAAGAAAATATCTTTGGGAGCCACTGACCTAGATCAATCGAAATTATTCTGGGTACCTGTTTTTGTATAAACTAAACAGGATATACATAATATCCAACTCATCCTACGTTAAATTATTGTCATATTACTCCTAATATAAAAATAGTCGCGACTAGCGTTCGGTTACCCCGGAAGACGGCACTCAGTCGAATTGATGGTTTTCGCAGCCGAGCGAGTGGCTTGGCCAGGCTGTCGATCCTCGAGGATGGCCGATAACGGCGATGTCCACGAGTGCGTGGACCTGGTTCCACTTGGGCGGTCTGCAGCTGCAAGCTCTCGGCATTTTGGATCGAAGATGGTAGATTATCAAAATCGGGTAGCGTGGCGAAGGTCTTTTTATTGATTTTATTAATTATGTCATCAGCATCGGGGAACGACACACGAACCTTCTCATCGTCCAAAGTCTTGTCGATCATTTGCTGGAACTTCTTTCTCAATGGAATCATATTGTATTTCTATTACAAAAATCTGTACCGAAATAGGCCAGATTAGATTATAGTATTAATATGGTATTCGTAAAATATTTTGACATTTGAAAAGTCAATTACCTAATTGTTATATTTTGATATTATTTGTTTTATAGTTGCTCTGGTTGCTCGGCATTGGTAGGTATGGCACAGCTATTTTATTATTTTAACATCTAACGCTGCACTTCATAGTTACATTTTATTATTTTAAACTACAATACCTCTACACTTATAGCGTATTATAGTGTAGTAACTAAAATTTAGTAGGTGGTCTTCGCCCTACATATCCACCAACTGGTAAATGGTATTTATTCCATGTTGAATATAATCTAAAACGTTATTTGGTACACACACATAGACACATGTACTGCATTGGTCGACCATGATTTGTAAGAGTTGACACATTGGTCGTGTTTGGAGTATGTATATTCTTATATAATAAAAAAAAATGTAATGTCTGTAAATGTAACAATGTTGTTTCTTATTTTTTAGTATCTGTAGGACAACGTTTATGTTGTACAAGCAACAGTTATGCTGTGCAAATATAACTGGTAACAAATGATTGTACGGTGTTTATATTGATTTCCTTCAATTTAAAAATTGTGCCTCAATACAATTTTTTTTTTTCGGCACTGTTCACACTCCTAAAACGTTCCACATACCCTTTTGGAGTCGTTGGAGTCGGGTCTTCTTTCGTTCACCGACCGCGGGGCTCAAGATTTCGATCGCAAAAATTGTCGCCAACGGTCAAACGTCGGGCGTATTTCTACACATTTTAGTTTTATCTCGATTCGTTTCGTCTTTTCGATCGAGAGCCGCCGATATTCGGCTGAGACCCGGACTGAAACATGAGAGAAGGACTGACCCGAGAGCCAGACTGACCTGGAAAGCGGGACTGAAACCTGAGAGCGGGACTGACCTGAGAGCCAGACAGGACATGAGAGAGGGACTGACCTGAGAGACAGACTGGACGTGAGAGCTGGACTGACCTGAGAGCCGGACTGACCTGAAAGCGGGACTGAAACCTGAGAGCTGGACTGACCTGAGATCCGGACTGAAACATGAGAGCGGGACTGACCTGAGAGACCGACTGAACATGAGAGGTGGATTGACCTGAGAGCTAGACTGACCTGAAAGTCGGACTGGAACACGAGATCTGGACTGACCTGAGATCCGGACTGAAACATGAGAGCAGGACTGATCTGAGAGCTGGACTGACCTGAAAGTGGGACTGAGACACGAGATCTGGGCTGACCTGAGATCCGGACTGAAACATGAGAGCGGGACTGACCTGAGAGCCAGATTGACCTGAAAGCCGAACTGACCTGTAAGCGGGACTGAAACATGAGAGCTGGACTGGCCTGAGATTTGGACTGAAACATGAGAGCGGGACTGACCTGAGAGTGGGACTGACTTGGACTGAATTCACTCAAACATACTTTATAATAATATGTGTGAAATATATATTTTAGACCGACTGATGTAGATTATAAATCCAGGATAGTAGGTATTTTATAATGTACATTCAATCAATTTAACAATTCAATTATTGTTCTTATGTTGTTTAAAGTATGCTCTGTTATGTGGTTCATTTCAACTTAAATAAAAATATAAAAGACAATACCTAATAAGATATGTGATAAACTTATGTACTATATCTTATAATTTATGAATTTATATATAATATTTATATTAGTATATAACTGTAGAAATTATCTCTTCTGTTATAACAAAATATATCTGAAAAGGCAGTGTTATTGCCTTCATTACATTTCATATTAAATAAGTATACTATTTCTTTTTATTTAAATTCAATAAATTACATTTTATTACTTTGAGTTTTTGGTTTTTTACTCGGTAGTCGCAATTTTATCCTATAAAATAGCTACATGGTCTCATCTTAGGTTGCTCATGTTGTAGTTAGTAGTTACTAGTTAGATATGCAATTGTAGAATAGAACTGAAGTACGTTTATCGACTTCGTTCCAATCAGTCTGTATTTACAGTCATAGATAATATACTACCAAGGTAATCAACCAATAACATGTTAATGTATATAAGGGCAAATAAGATGAGTAGGTCAGTCAATGTTGTTAACTTATAATATAATAGTATATTGATGTTGTATATTAAACACAATATGAATGATAGTCAGTTAAGCTCACAAAATGTGAAATCAGAATTAATAAGTATCGTTAAGTCGAGACATAGCCTAGAAGGTTTTACATTGTGATCCAGGGTTGTTTTGAATTTTAATTGTAAGAAAAAGCGCAGTAAGTATATCCCATCAGGCTAATAAAAAAAAAAATTGCAAGAAAAAATAAATAAAAAAAATTTAAAAAAAAAATCTTATTTGAAAAAAAAAATATTAAAAAAAAAAAAAATGGAAAGGAAAAGTTTGAAAAAAAAATAATTCTGAAAAAACAAGTTTTGAAAAAAAAATTTAAATATAAAAATAATAAATAAAAAAAAAAATTGAAACAAAATAAATAATAAATAAAAAAAACATAAATACAAAAATTTTGAAAAAAATAATTTTGGAAAAAAAAATATTTTGAAAAAAAACAAAAAAATGATTTTGAGCAAAAAATATTGAAAAAAAAATAATTTTGGAAAAAAAATATTTAACAAAATATTTTGTTAACAGAATTGATAAGTAACGTTAAGGTAAATAAAAAATATTGAAATTAAAAAAATATTGGAAAAAAACAAGTTTTGAAATAAAATAAAATTATGAAAAATATTTTGTTAACAGAATTGATAAGTATCGTTAAGTTGAGACTTAGCCTAGAAGGTTTTACATTGTGGATCCAGGGTTGTTTTGTATTTTAATCGTAAGAACCAGTCCAGCAAGTTAAGTATGATCCCATCTGGCCAAAAAAAAAAAAAATTTAGTTTGAAAAAAAAATTTTAAAAATAATGTGACCAAAAAGGCGTCTGTTAGGCATTTGCTTTCAATTGTGATTTTATATTGTTTATGTTTGTTGATGAAATTAGGCGTTTGTTATCAATTGAATTTTTATAATTTTAAAATGTGATTATTCAGTTAGGTGTTTGTTATCAATAGACATTGTACAGACCCAATATTTATTTATTTAATTTTTCGTTTGTTTTCAATTGAGATTTAATAGAACAAATATTTGTTTATTGGGTTATTTGTTTGTTCATTGTTTACTCTTTCCAAAACATCCACTTTGTGCATTCAATTTTAAAATTCTTCAATAAATTGTATATTCGTAAAAATTCTTCTTAAATATTTTATTTTGATTTTACGTACAATTTTATTTTTTTTAAACCATCTCAAAGATAATTGATGGCAACCTTGCATGAAGAATGGGTTCATATCGGTTATAATTTTGAGTTTTTTATTTTGGGCCTAAACATCCAGCAACCATCGGGAAACATATGCGCTTCTCTAGAACGCAAAAGCGATACAGCATAGGCAATGGCCATCAATTATTACAAACAAAGAACAGTAGATGATATGTTTTCGGTGATTGAACAAATACCTCTTACTTTTTTTTTTTTGCAAAATTTTCTTTTCAAATTTTTTTTAATTACGTTCCGACGAAGTGGTCGGTTGCACCGGTACGTCGGACTTAGCTCTGAAATGGCAAGTTCCCAAAAGTTTTGAAAAGCGTTATGAAGATCAAAAATTAATTAATTTTAAACAAGAATTTTTAAGGGAAACCGATTTTTGACAAAATCGTATTTAGTGTTTAATGTAAACAGAAAACAAAATAATATCGTAGATAAACGAAATTTTGAACATTTATACCGCATCAATATAATTTTTTAAAATATTTTGACTTGTGTTGAACTATTTATACTATATATTTATAGGCTTATGAAATGTTTGATTATTTTTATTTATTTGAAAGAAATGTTGATAAAAATTTTTTGCTCCATCAAAAATATTGAAAATGTATAACAAGATTCCTTGTAAGTTGTTGTTAGTGGTAATGCAAATAAAAATTGAGCTTAAATCAACAATACTTTTTTATGAGCTTTTGAATTTGTAATTTTGACGAAATTCGTAATAATCACGAAAATTTGCAAATTATTTTGAGTTAGATGTGCATAAGACATTTTCTTTTTATATATGATCTTTAAAAATTATATACAAGATTTCATATGAGCTCGGCTGCCTCTATCAAAATAACTATTTCTATCTGAGGATCAAATTAAATTTTTATGGGCGTTTGAAGTTGGAATATAGTGTAAATCCATTTTAATTAAGCGCTAAATATTTGTGAAAAAAGATTCATTTTCAAAATGGGTTATGCTAGTGGAATGTACGTGTTTTAGAAACAGTCGAACCTAGAACATAGAATATAATATAATATTTATCGTGTAACCAAGTCTCGCCTTTATGTAACGCTGTTAACCGATCATCGGTTTTTCTTACCCGGGCACATGCAGTAATATAGTTTTGACACGGTTTTCACACTATTTTCAAGTACTTTAAGTGAGTTTAAAGTAAATCTTTTATGCCCATATGGAATAACACAAAGTACGCCTAACCGAAATTATATGTATTGAACCAACGGCTTGAAATTATTGTAGCTAAAAATATTTGTCAGACATATCCAAAATATGTGAAGCTTTATCGTTACGTATGTTACATTATTTTACTATAGAAATAAAATAATGTAAAATATTACTGTACAATTAGTTTATATTATTATAAATATTTATTACATTATATATTATTATATTAAGGATATAATTTTAATCTGATACATTTTACTTCAATATTATAGTTGTCTTAACTACACGTTTAATAATTTGCAATTGGTAATAGAATTGGTAAATATAGGTAGGCACCTGTCGATAGACTGTGATCAATTTGAACTTTTTGACTGTTATTTTTGGGGAGCATACCATTTTTTGTCAAGGACCTCTTACTATTGTCTTCAATATTTTATTACCAAAAGCTATATATTTTAATGTTTATTTTG